TCAGATTTCATGATGAAAAAAAGACATTACTGATCTATAAAGGTAACTGATTATAATAGCCATTTTTTATTTCATTTTTTTATATTTTTTCGTCAATATCTTAACATTTGGTTTAACTGAGTGCTAGGATAAGTAGCATAATATAAAATGATAAAACTTTTGCATACATTTTTCATGACGATATCACTGCGATTGTCATCGGTTATCTCTTGATCTTTTCGGGAAGAATTCAACATTTAATATATCTGACATTTCATTAAGATATCAAATGATTATAAAAAGTTACAAACATTATAATTCCATAGAAGACAGAGAGAGAGAGTGGGGGAATTAAGATATGCCTCCAACATCATTCAAATATCTGCGTCAGGACACATTAACCACTTAAATACACGTGATATAGTTCAACGTGGTACAGCAATTTAAACTAGCATACAGAGGCTTAAGCAAGTGATCCGGAGTCAATAACCGTAACCACGGTCACTCTTTCAACAACATAATGGTATAAGTACAATAGTGCAGCATCTTATAAAGATAAGTACCATAATGCAGCATCTTATTATTATAAGTACAATAATGCAGCATCTTATTAGGATAAGTATCATAATGCAGCATCTTATTAGGATAAGTACCATAATGCAGCATCTTATTAGGATAAGTACCATAATGCAGCATCTTATTAGGATAAGTATAATAATGCAGCATCTTATTAGGATAAGTACCATAATGCAGCATCTTATTAAGATAAGTACCATAATGCAGCATCTTATTAGGATAAGTATAATAATGCAGCATCTTATTAGGATAAGTACCATAATGCAGCATCTTATTAGGATAAGTACCATAATGCAGCATCTTATTAGGATAAGTACCATAATGCAGCATCTTATTAGGATAAGTACCATAATGCAGCATCTTATTAAGATAAGTACCATAATGCAGCATCTTATTAGGATAAGTATCATAATGCAGCATCTTATTAGGATAAGTATCATAATGCAGCTTCTTATTAGGATAAGTATAGAAATGGAGCATCTGATAAGGATAAGTACAATAATGCAGTCTTTTTAGAATAAGTGTAAAAATGGAGCGTCTTGTTAGGATAAGTACCATGATGTAGCTTCTTATTAGGATAAATGTAATAGTGCAGCATCTTTTATGATAAGTACAATAATGCAGCATCTTATTTGGATAAGTACCATGATACAGCATCTTATTAGGATAAGTATATAATGCAGTATCTTATATGGATAAGTGTAAAAAAGGAACATCTTGTTAGGATAAGTACAATAATGCAGCATCTTATTAGGATAAGTTCCATGCTGTAGCATCTTATTAGGATAAGTATAATAATGCAGCAACTTATTAGGATAAGTGCAATAGTGCAGCATCTTATTATGATGAGTATATTAATGCAGCATCTTTTAGGATAAGTCAAATATTGCAGCATCTTATTAGGATAAGTACAATAGTACAGCATCTTAATATGATTAATATAATAATGCAGCATCTTAATAGGATAATTACAATAATGCAGCATCTTAATAGGATAAGTACAATAATGTAGTATCTTATTAGGATAATTACAATAATGCAGCATCGTCTAAGAATAAGTATAATAATGCAATATCTTATTAGGATAAGTATAATAATTCAGTATCTTGTTAGGATAAGTACAATAATGCAGCATCTTATTAGGATAAGTATAATAATGCGGCATCCTATTAGGATAAGTACAATAATGCAGCATCGTATTAGGATAAGATAAACACAACCAAAAACCAATACCACCAGGTTTTCTGTACAAGTATTTAACAAATGAGTAATTGTGTTCGACCTTCACCTGACAAGAAACCTATTCATTTGGCCTAATAGTTGTATTTTACTTATTTCGTTTATCTTAACGAGAAATTTATTACATGCAGACCTAACCTCAAGTATTTTCATCGGAAAGACACAGCGAATATGCAAGATTTACTGTGACATAATCCATATTTTTCATATTTTATGAAATAAACGCATCAGATTCCTACAGAGAGTGTAGGTAATAATACAAGAACAGTTTTGATTTATGAATGAAATTTCAAACCATTATCAGATCATGTTTTCGGGTATTCATTTCGTTTCCCCTGGTCTATTTATTCGTTTTTATAGAGTTGTGAAGTGAAATTGTATAATTTACTGTCATTTTCGCCGCTGGAAGCCCGTCGCGTTTACAATGATGAAATTCGACACCGGTCGGCTTAAATTATCTTTTGTTAAAAAGTCATATTTCTATAATAAATCGTTTGTTTGTCGTCTGCTACCGTCTGATTATGTGACTGACGGGGGACCCATGTAGAGAATACATTAATAACAACGTTTTAGAACCGTAATTAGCGACAGTTATTTAAAAATTCTTAAACACTTAGCCGTTAGCGTCTATATACATGTATGTGTAACGACTGAGTCGTCAGCTATGAAAGAAGTAAAGAAAAGTGATAAGAAATAATACTAGGGAGCAAATACCAGTCTCTTTGTTTTGCATTTTGCAGTTAGTTTACTTTCCTTAATGAAAAATATTCCAATTATAAAAAAGTTGTTTCTGACATTATTATTTCTACCATGTACCAATTTTTGCGTTAATGAATCATGTACGAGCTAATGCTACTTTATTTAAACTGTCGTCTGCTTACGTTCGTCTTGCACAGGTTTGACAGTAATAAAACCCCGTGAAGTAGAAACTCGCAAATATTTTGTTTATCAGCTAAGTCAATTTATTTTCCTCTACAGACGTACATTTTCTTTCATTACCTGCAAATTTATCTTAATAAATTACTGTACATACTTGAATAATGTCAATTAGAAAACACATTTAACAACTTAGTCTAAATTTACGTTCATGAGCATTTATTTGAAACATCCATTCTCGATTGTAACTATGAAGCTAAAATAAATTCTTTGCGCTCTGCAAGTTTTTAGTCAGTCTAGCTTATACCCAGCCCAGACCGCAAGTCTGTGTAACCAACCCTGATCATTTATGCTAGTATTTTATTGTTAAATTTCTTGAATACAGCATTCTATAATTCAGAGAGCAAGCACTTTGAATTAAATCATCGGAAAGATTTATTTTAAAATCAATTATACCAATATCAAATCTCAGACGCCGAAATCACGTGATACTTGTGTCTTATGACGTCTGCTTTGTTTTTCAGTTAAAGTAAATGGACGAAGAAAAGTTCTTTATTATGGTGCTTACTACAGTTATTTACTGTCTTTGACAGCCGGGATATAAACGCGTGCTTTAATTATATTGATCACTATAAAGATTTCCTTTCATGTAATTGTGTCAATTAAAACGAACAGACGCCGATCCCCGTGTCGTTTGGTTTTCAGAATTAAACAAAAACTCCCCACTTGTATTTACACTTTCACTCTACAGACGTATTTAGACAACATGTTACAAATATTTTTGGTTCAGGTTCAAAACAAATTTTAATATCTGAGATATGGGTGCTGAGTAAGTTATGTATTTTTTTTATAAATATAATAAGATAGGTGAATTTGTTAATACAACAGAAAATATTGCAAACAATTATCAGAGTGAAATTTTTCCCATAAACACTTATCGACAGTAGCTTTTTTATATCCGGAGTGAAAAAAAATGGATTTACGAAAGTCGGAAGTTTTCCTCGCGTGGTTTTGTCGTGTAAATATTTACAGAATACTACGGCTAATTGTTTAATCGACATTTTAAGACATGTTACAGACCCGGACCATGTTGAGTTCGGTTCTCATACAAAATTTACCACTTGACATCCATTAACTTCGAATCAATAACTGTTTACTATTTCCTCTAAAATGCTTTTATCTTTGATAAAAACTTAACTAAAAAGCTCTTGAAAAAAGTCAACATATCCCATGATGTATAGTATATCGTTATCTAGCCTCATTTTAAAATCATAACTTATCCGTCAAAGTAAAACGTTTACCAAAACTGTATAAACATTAAAACAGAAACATTGTTTGTCTACTGGTCAAGTTTATAGTGGTGCGAAATGAACGATAACGGGTTCGTTAAATTTGGCAAATCTTTTTTTCTTCTTTATTTAATTTTATTAAATTGATGATTGTTTATCACTTTTTGTAAACAAATTAGTGAAATCGGAAATAAAGTTCTTAATGGATAAATAAACTAAAATATCTAAGTTTCACGGACTTCAGCCATATGTTCCTGTACAGATTTACGGAAAACATCATCATCATCATCATCGTCATCATCATCACCATCATCGTCATCGTCATCATCACCTTAGTCATTACAATCATCATCAATAATAATAAGAACAACAACAACATAAGCATCATCATCATAATCATTAGCATCATCGTTATCATCATTTATCATGATCATTTTTAATCATCATCATTAAACACTACCACCACCACATTCATCATCATCATCATCATCATCATCATCATCATCATCATCATCATCATCATCATCATCATTATTTTACGTCATCATCGCCTACATCATCATGTTGCTATGCAATTATGTAATTCGCTATCAAGATAATATCTTCCGTATAGCCATCAAAGCTATCTCAATTTGTTTAAAGATGTATTTGCTCGATACATCAAAGATCTCTAAATTTGACATAAAGTATTCTTTAAAATTCAGCAAGCATTATAAATACTAAATCGTATTAGCTTTGTCTTAAGCTATGTTGGTACAGACACGGGTCATGTTTGTTCGAAAGGTTAGGGACATATTTCCAATGTTTACGTTTAACTTGATTTTTCATGATCCCGATGTTTTCCTCAAACAATCGGCTTACGTGTGTTTGAACAGTAGGGATAGAGAGGTCTAGATGCTTTTATCAAGCGAATATCTCGGCACTTTTCCATCGATATCTTCCCCCGTGCTCCTATCAGCCCACAACGATTAATATATTATATACATTCGTATGATTTATTAAGTCGCTCTAATGCGTGGATGATGAGCACAGACTTTTTTGTTTTTGTTTCTCGTATGAAGGTTTTGATGTAGTTATGAGAATGTAGCTTGAAAATAACTGTCGTGCAGCGTTCGTCAGAATAATTGAAATAATAAAACGTAACGCCTCGAGGGAAAATCCTGACGTTTGATTAGTTGAACACTGTCGTGCAGACGTTAGTCTCGCTATGAAAACCGGTGACATTGAAATAAGTTAATATTTTTATATTATATAGTTTTCGTCTGCTAACCGTGTGTATATAATTATATCTGTGCTTAAGAAAGCGAGGAAAATAGTCAAGTTTGGGAATATTACGCATTATCAGTAAAGTTTTGCAGTTAATTTGTACGAAAATCTTTGATTGGCCAGGCGAACGAATTCACGTGAAAAGGAAACATGCAGACGATTTAGTTCCTAGCGCGCGTCCAACGAAGCAGAAGATTCTTGTGTCAGTTAATAAAGAACATATTGGATGTATCATTTCCGTCAATGAACTGAGTAAATAAACATGAATAGCGGGATCAGGCTTTTAATTATTTTTCATTTTGTGCAATAAGTTTTTATTGGAAACAAATTCGAAATGGTGAAGAGAGGAATTTTAAATAGTGATTTACCTAATCGGACTACCGTGACGTTGAAATCTTTATTAGCGTTCTGTCGGCTGACTTGCATAATAAATTTGGGTAAGTAAGTGATTATCAGGTTATAAAATCGCTATTTAAGTATGTTAAAGGGCGTGCATATCAGAGTAATGGTCTGTTAATGGAATACTCGAATCACCAGGTAACATTGCGATCCTATCAGACGGTGTATGTACAAATACATTTTTGTATTAAGTGAAAACGGAGGTATATTATAAACATAAAATAAAGGCTTTATAAACCCTAGTGATTCAAAAAGCGTCTGGTTCAAATTATATTTACTTTTTAGAAGCAGGTTAAATGCTATATCAAAACATGGACATGTAAAAATTGCAAAATTAAAACCTTCACATACTTGGTATTGAGTTCATTACAAATCAATGCGTAACTTAAATAAACATATTGACAAGTTTTTTTGCTATTTCTTTATTGATTTGACACGAATGTAATGAAGTGAATAGACCTTTTATCAAAATTAATTGTTTCGCAGTCTTTTTGCCTAATTAACTTCAAAACAGTTATGTTTGTTTAACAGATTTCCTTGCGTTTTAATGCTTAAATTAATTATAAATTATGCATACATCTTAGCTTAATGGAACGCGTTCTATTAATTCGTATATAAAGTTATAACTTCCTTAAATTTATTCGCAGAGAAGAATTCGAAAACTTTGATCATTTCGGACATTTATCTACAATGTAACTTAAGTATACATTTCAAGTAAATCGATCCTGTGACAAGTTTCGTTATATCAGTTCACTGCAGTGCCCTTAAGAAATAATACCCCAAAGCTTTGGCATTGACAAAAGATATAGATCGAGATAAGCATGCTTAAATATCGTTGCAGACGACATATCTATTTCTCAACTTGTCTTAAATAATTGATGACTAAAATGTAGGAGACTCGTGCACACTACCGAACAAAACACCTCCCTCGGCGTTAACTATGTGTTATTTATGTTATAGTGGGGCATTTAAACCTGATACCTAAATGCCCGATGACCTCCGAATTTTTTAAGTGACCTTAAAACAAACGCCGGTTGTTCAGGTGTGCTTGATTAAATAGATCGATTAACCTTTAATGGACTCATCGAACAGGTTAATTTGATTATTTTGTCTATCGCTAAGTTTGTTAAGTGTCTAAAACCTTGTAGATCTTCTGTTAGTTTATATGACACGTCAACTGTTCTATTTATATAGAATGCCAAATAGTACAAACCACAAGTTATTTTAAAGATATTATTTGACACATCCATTATTTATATTCACAGCAGGGAGAAATGACAAAATAGTATTCACCTCAACAAATAAAAATCAAACACCACCGTCCTTACTTGTTTACTCGTCCATTGCCTTTTATTCATATGAAAGAACTCTCCTGCCTATATGTATCACAAACAGGGCACTTTAAAGTTATAAACAATCATTATAAAGAACACTTCAGAAATAATAATAATAATCTACAAAAACTGTTCTCATGCAATGCATTTATTTATTTATGAACTCCACTGACTTCCATATGCTTTAAAACATAAAAATTGAATTTTGTACATAGATGTCATGAACTGGGACACTTAAACAGATAGATTCGCAAAAGATAATTAAGAAGAACCCCAGTCGTATTTTGTGCTATTCTAAGCCCCCGATTTCAGTGAAAAAGCGTTCAAACGCTTTTCGATCTTGGATCATTTTCACAATTAGAATTATTGATTTTGAACTACATCAAATGGAACATAAATCTCGAAAAAATATTTCCAGTCCCGTCATGTGAAAAAAAGGCCCTTTAAATATGTAAATGTTTGGTCATACATTTTAGTGATTTGTCATGTTTTCACTAATTGTCCGGTTTAGGTAAACGCTTCCGTCTGAATTAATATGAAATAAGTCAAATTCAAGATTCTCTTTGAAACTTAGATTTGTAAATAACATAAGCAGTAATTATCTTTTGGTTGGTTGATCTAATTTCAAACACTCAAGGTCTAAAAACATGATAATTATGTGACACGAATGCTGTTTATAATATAATATAATATATTGACTGCATACGGTACATTATAATTTGATTCATTCGATACATTAATAATGAATAAAATGTATCACTTATTTTAATTAGAATCGCCATTTTATTGTCATACCCATAGTAAAAGACTAAATGAGACAATATCCGTTATTCTGCTAGACACTTGTTGAATGCAGCAAAGAGAAGCAATTCCCACTTGAGGTCTCGATATCGGAGAAATGGTGGTAACTAGCGAAACAGTTCAATGAAAATTTAATGATATATTGCACGTTTGGTGGTTTTATGAGTCGCATTTTGTCTGTCGTTTCCTTTTTATGACATTACTCGACAATTGATATAGGATGAATTGTATAGCAACCAATATTGTGGTATTATATCAAAAACAAATAAGATGTCCGTCTCCAGGTAGATGATACAGTCATATGTAACTTGACATTGTTATATGAAATAATAAAAAGCGAATTTAAGATCTATTTATTATCATTTCTAAACTTAAATAAATTATATTATTTTTCTGGGAATGTTCAAGACTTTTAGCCGGAAAAGTCGTCTTGTATGATGTGAGAAGTAATTAAACAAATAATTTATATCAAAAGGCCACATTGCAGCAAGTGAGTCTCACATGTATTCATTCCTTCCCATAGGATATGTAGGTTCCAATCATTTTGGTGGGAGAAAAACTTCGGTTATCGTCTGCTTATTTTTTTTCGTCTGCTACCTATCTGACAGTGGTGAGATGATTAGAGGGGTTACACAATAGCGTCATTAGCACTAATCAATCTGCATTATAAAACAATAAGTCCGTCTGCTTGGATATATATCGTGTCAGGCTAGATAAGAATCGAGAATAATCAATAATTATAGAACAAATTCTTGTTTGTTTTTTACCGCCTGCAAAACCTCTCATAGATAGTAAGAACATATTCTCGCTAATTATTTGGAATTGTTTCCATTGTGAAAGAAATAGAACAGAACATAACATAAATCATTTTTAGATTATGTCACTTATTACGTAATATTATCCCCAATAATTGCAAATTAGCGTAAAGCTCGTGATATACCGCTTGTCAGGGTAGAAATAATAATAATGATGAGGAAGAGAATACGAGCAACTTTAGAAATAATAATACAGAATTATATTTATGTTTAAGAATAATCTTCATCATCTTATTTAATTATCCCAGAATTCTCTCCCGCTTATACATATATACTATGATTGTAGAAGAGGGGCTTAAGTTTATTTATCAGAGCGTTTTTTTAGTATAAATAATGCATTTTTTGTTCAAATTAAAAAACGAATATATTTGATTAATGTATACTTTGAGATTGCTATTAATAATGAGAACTTCAAAGCAACAATACGTTTACTTGACCTTAAGGGGTCGTCTTAATGTCCACGGACATCACCTCGTCTGTCTGTCTGTCCGCTATCAGTAAAATCTATTTTACCCATTGTGAAACGTCATCATATTTACATTTAGAATACAAAATCTCGCGAGATAAAACTAATGTATGTTTTATTTATCTTTTACATCTCGTCTAATCATCATTAGCTATCAAAAAGAGTTTTCTTTCCTCTTACTTTTTTCTCATTTTCATCTGTAGAATAAGACGTGAAAGCCACTTGAAAACCTTATAAAGAAAGAAAAAAGGCGTTACTTTTTTCAAACGTTTAAGAAAAAAGGATAATTGAGCCGCGTCACGACAAAACCAACATAATGGGTTTGCGACCAGCATGGATCCAGACCAGCCTGCGCTACCGCGCAGTCTGATCAGGATCCATGCTGTTCGCTTACCAACTCTATTACAAGTAGAGAAACTGATAGCGAACAGCATGGGTCCTGATCAGACCGCGCGGATGCGCAGGCTGGTCTGGGTCCATGCTGGTCGCAAACCCACTTTGTTGGTTTTGTCGTGACGCGGCTCAATTCTTGTTTGAAACTCCTACGGTGTACAAACTTCATACAATTCACATGTTTTGTTTATTTTACCGTCATAGTTTTGACGTAAATCTTAACATTTTATTTCTAACATTAATTTTTATAACATATAAAAACAACAATATAAAGACAACTGAATTTGCAAAATATCTATGTCGTTGGAACAACATATGGACGACTTTTAGGATTTAGTTTTGTTTGATATGATTAATATGAGTCTTAACGAAAAGTGTTCCGAATGTTTTTTTACATGAACATTCCTATACATGAAAACAATTATTTTATAGATGTACTTATATACCATGTAAACATTTTTAACAGAAACATATCATGTCTTTTAACATTATCTTGAGTATTAATCATTTCATTATTTAAGCATTCATTTTCAACCTTGGTATTGGTAATACATACACACGTAGATCTATATCAATTATTCCGGATATACCTTCAAAAAACATAAAGCTTTAGAGAAATTAAGATATGTAAATATCTAATAATATATTGAGTTCGTAAAATAATTCATGTTAAATTATATGTATTAGTCAGACTTAGTTAAAAGGCAGCCAGGCTTATACATACTTGAGGGTTTTAAATAAAACATAAATCGTTCAAAATCTAAATTTTCTCCTTATTTTTTTTAATTAGAAAAATGTGCAATAAAGGACTTCATTATGTTTACATAGTCAATATGCTTTAGTAGATTTAAATTGTTGTTAAAATTTATTACAAATCTATCGTTATGTAATAAAATGTGTTTATATCATTTTAATACAACCCGTATTCTTTTTGATTATAGGGTAAAACCTGAGCACGTCATCGCTTAACTGTATGGTTGTATTCAAAAATGTTCCTTTCCTAATGACTTTTTGTAGTCAGTTTGCTGTTCTGTTGTATTTCTCTATTTATTTACATTATTTATTTTTCGTTTTTCTTGAGTGTTTATATTTATGGAAGCTTGGTTTATAACGGCGGCTTTGTGTAAATCATCGACAGAGCTAATAGAGTATCTTATGTTGCCGCTGTTTTTTGTTGTGAACTTTTCCGCCCCCCTTCTAACGCCATGAACGAGTCATATTCATTATTC